CGACTCGCGGCTCCCTCCGCCCGGGGCCGCGCTCACGCCGGGCGGAGCTGCGGGCGCCGCCGGACGAGTTTGCGTTACATAAGGACGCGGCCAAAACATGTTTTGACTTTGAAGCGCGGCGCATACTGCCCTGTCGCAGACTTCCTGGATTCCTTGCAACAAAATAATTGCTTTATTGTTTTTCTATTGTCAAAAAATGAGTGGAAATTAGGAGCTGGCATTTTCCAAGGGCTGCCTCCAGCCCGAAAGGGCTGAGAACCACCGGTGTCCTGTGCGTGCAGCGGAATGCGTCCGTGCTGATGAACTGCAGCTTGACGCAGCCATGGTCTAGTCCAGTGGCTTTGTGGGCACAGAGAGATGCTGCCCTCTAGTGGGCTGGGCCCCTGCAGGACAATCGACTGGTGGCTGCTGACACTCAGTGCCTGTCTTCAAGATCCTGGGCCCGTACTGTGGAAGGACTATGACTGCGTGCACATGCATGGCATTTATGCAGTCTGAAGGCGGGGGAGCTCTGCAGTTTGCAGCGTGCCATCAGGCCTGGGGGCTCTGTGCAGTAACACCCTAACTGAAGGTCTCGTTTGCCAGCAGTTTCTTTCCCAGAACACACTACATCACCTCAGTGTCCTTGTACTGCCTCAGCTAAGGCTGAAACTGTACTCAAGTCCTGCGAGACACAAAGCCAAGGGCCTGGTCCCTGCCCCTGCACTTTCCCTGTCTAATACCAGCTGAAAGGGCCACATGGTGGTGCTGACAGAGATTTTCTTGGTGGAGCCTCTCTGGCAAGCTGTGCCTGCTCCTCCCAGCCCAGCTATCCCTTTGTCTTCACCTGGGCAAGGGACTACATTTGGCTCAGAGGTTCACATATTCCTTGCCCAGCCTTCATCTCTGCTCTCGAGCCAGCAACTTTGCTCAGGAAGATAACACACTAGGAGTGCAGCAGCCCCTTCTCCAGATAGGCTGGCTCTACTCCCTGCTCTCTGCTGTCATTTGCCCCTATGATGCTCCTTTCTTTCACCTGTTATTCTCTGGCTGCAGCTGCAGCAGCCATCCCTCTGAATATCCTGCCCCTCCCTTCTGTCACCCCTCCCCAGCCCCCATCACATGGCTCTGGGGGAGATAAAGGGCAGCAGGGTACCTGCCCTGGAGTGCTGACTGTTATCTCCCTCCTGCTAGGAGTGTTTGTGTTGGCCCCACTGAACAGCTCCCCCCTGGACAGGGGAGCTGTTTATCTGAAGTGCTCAGCTAGCGAGCAGAGGCCACTGGGCTGGGCCCCAGGCTGGTGTTTTGATTCTAGAGTGTGCGCCATTTCTCAGGAAAAGAGGTGCACAGTGGCCCATGTCCTGGCTTCAGGGTCCTGCTTAGAGTGGGCTGAAAGGACTTTGGTTGCCATATTCCAACTGCTATGCAAGGCACTGCTTTATCCTCTCCAGCCCCTTTCTGTGCCAAATGGGGTGGGGGATATCTTCTGGTTTTGGTGATGCCTACAGACCGCTCCCATATTGCTGTCCCAGGGAAACCCTAAAATCCTTTCCTTTCTAATTTCTTGGCTCTAGCAGAGCCTAGACGCTGGTCCTACACCACCGTACTCGAGTGCACTCAAGGTCTCTTCAACACTCGCCTAGCTTACCCAAGGCCCAGAGACAAGGATCCATGGCCCTGCCCCATGCTGGTGCCACCCCACTGTGGTGACACATAACAAACAGGTAAAAGTCAGTTCGCAGTGACTCCAGCATTCAGAGTACTTCAATCTGCTCACTTCAAGGCTGGTCTCTGTGGGACAGTCAGTCAGGCACCACTGTGAGATGAAGAGAAGCTCAGGACACCTTCTGGCCAGCTGAGAGAGTGTAGGTGAGTCCAGGCTAGCACAGGCCCAGTCTGCCTCTAGCACCCATCATGCCTGAACAGGCTCTTGTAGGCAGCTGGCCAAGCTGCAAACCAGGTGGCCTGTGCCAGCCTAAGCCTTGCCAGAGATGTCCTGCCACTTGTAATTAGGACTCTGGTGTTTCCTGGCAAAGCTTCAGGGTATGGATGGTCTGCACTGCCAGCAGGAGGGCATAAACCTCAAAATACCCCTGTCTTTGCTGGGGATAACTGCCAACTTCTGTATGGACATGAAGGTAGCTCTCCCCTTCCCTAGCACAAAACTTGCTACACTTCAGCTGCACTGGACAACTAGCATCTGCAAGGTTTTCAGATCTAGACAAATACAACAGTTGTAAAGGCAGCCAGAAAAGAGCACTACTACTCCTGGTATCTGGAAGCTGGGTCTGTGCAGCAGTGCTGGTGGAGCCAGGGTGCCCAGCATCTATCTAAAGTGCATTTGAGGTGAGGACAGTCCAGCAAACAGTCTGATGAGCCAGCAGCCTCCTGGAGTTCTTTTTTTGCCAGGGGGTTAAGCACTGGCATGGGATGCAATAACCAAGCTAACAGCTTATATGCACACATCTCCTTCTGTCCAGGGGTCCCCCATGCACTTTCCACAGGGCTCAGCATTATAATCACTACTTTACAGACGGGCAAACTGAGGCACGGATTGGGGAAGCAACTTGCAAAGCACCTGCAGAGCTGGGAATGGGGTCCAAATCCCCAACATTATCTCCTAGAACATGACTAGAATTCAAACTTGCACTCTGCCTGGTATCAGGGGCCTGGGAAGACCAAAAGATGTCCCTTCCCATTACTTGTGGGTACCAGACCCTCATTATAAGATGTGTACAGGAAAAAAACACCTTTAGACTAACCAAAGTGTGTGTGTGTGCATGTGTATAACAGAGCACAGGGTGCGCTCTTACTTGCAGGGGCCTCAGCAGCAAGGCAGTCTGCGGCTGCTCACAGCCCCAATTAGGCGGGACTGCCTGATTGGGGAACAGGGCCCAGCTGTTGTATACAAGTGCTGGGCCCTGAACAGCAGGGCAGCAGTTTACTGCCAGCAGCTGGAGAGTTAACACTGGCTGAGCTGCTGCTCAGCATAACTCAGAGGTAAGGGAGGAGCTATGGTGGGGGCTAGAGGCTCCTGGTCCTGGGCATGACTGCAAACTGCACCCTGTCAGGGAAGGGTGGCCTGGTGGGACTGTTTGTGGCAAGACAGTTTCCCAGAAATGCCAAGCCAGTTACCTCCATGGGGAAAGGTGGATGGGGTGCCTGATAACCCCAGCCCCCACATCCCTGGTGGATATTAAGAGCTAGACAGGGGAAGCCCAGGCTCACTGCAACTACTGAGGCGGGGCCCAGGCCTGGAGGAGGGACCTGTGGCAGTGCTCACACTTGCAGTGAAGGCTCCAGGGGGGTGAGGCTCTGAGCCTTAGAGATAGTAGGGGAGCTCCCAGGGAAAGGGATAAGGGTTATGAATTAGTGCTGGGGGATGGGACTTGGAGCCCTAGTCCTGTAGTGTGGGGCCTGGGGCCCAGAGAAGGGCTTGAAGCCCGTACTGAGAGGCTTGGAGCTCGGGGATGGGGCTTGAAGCCCAGTATGTATTAGGAGTTGATAAAGCTAGGTGTTAGGCCATGAAAAGTCTGTGAGGCATGGGACACAATAAGGGAGGTTGGAGTCATGTACAGGCCCTTGTCACCAGGGCAGATAAATGGGCAGCCTCCTGCCTGAGTAACATCTTTGTAGTTGTTAACATCAAGGTGTGGCAGAAGGTGGGTGGTTAGCCTGAAGACAAGTGGGCGGGCCTACATTTGAGATCGGCCCCAGGACACCCGACTTGTTACAGTGTACGTACGTGTACGTATGTGTATATTATTTGATGTTACACCATCTGATGAAATGAGCTTTAGCTCACAAAAGCTTGTACTACCTACATACATATAGGTGTGTGTGTATGTATGCATGCATACACATATTTCTACTTTGGTTAGTCTATAAGGTGCAAATCTACCCTGCCTTTCACTTGACTTCAGACTAATATGGGCATTTACCTTTCTCTACTCACTCCTGTTTAAACTACTTTAGATATATTTTTGTTTCTTATGCTCATCAAAACCTTAGGAGCAACTTTTACATACAACTAGCAGGCAAGGTGCCCAAAACGTCTTTTAACTTGCCACAGGTAAAGCAGGGGGATGAAGGCATTGTCAGTGACTTCTTGCAGTGGCAGGACAGTAGACAAAAAGCGCCAAGAGCTTTCTGACAATGTGAACACTACGGTACTGACTGCACAATATAGACCTGGTAAGGAACTTCATCTGGCACAGTGTCTGTGAGTGCATCCATAAATACTTCAAGTAATGATGACTCAAGTGCTACCCACATGCAAACAAAAGCTGATGCACTCAAAGAGGAAACACAGAGTGATCCACCCTCACGACAGCTTGAGAGAACGATTCTGGAGGTCGCACAGGAAAAGTTCAGACGCTTCCAAGCACGACATCTTACTGGGAAAGAGGAAATTACTGCACAGGATGAGGTTCTGTGGAGAGGTCAGTTCTG